GAGGTTTTCCACAAGGTTTTCGTGTGGAACAAAGCTCACATTCTACTGCCATGCTACAGTCATTTGCTTTTCTAAGCACATATTCAGCTTCCTCACTTCCCAACCCTTGTTAGGCAAGTGCACTTCATGGTTGCTGCCTGGTTTTCATTTGGCTCAGTCTCCTCATCCCCTCTGGGTCTTTCTGAGATGTTTGTCAGCCCTTACCATCTGAAATGAAACTGGCTGAGAGCTGGTTCCACCCATGAAAGGAAATGCTCCTTTTCAGGGAAGGGACCTGCAAAACACAAGAACAGGCCAAATCCCTTAAGGAACATAAGCATTTAAAATAGCCTCCTACCTTCTCCATTTCCCCTTTCCCACAAAACTGACCCAAATGGCACTGGTGCATGTCCTTCTAAGGAATAACTCATCACCTGCCCATTCTGTACCTCTACCACTGTCAAAACCTGCCCAATGTAGCTCAATACCCACATCACCTACCTGAAGATAACTAAAGAGGTTTTAGGGGAAAGCGAGGAGTAGGACACATATCTATCCACAGGCCAAATGCATCTGGAGTGATCATAAAAATAAAATAATCAAGAGGAATCTCACTGCATTCATAGCCTTATAATGGCAGGGAAGGAATACCCTGAACCTTCACTGATCAGTGCAAAACCTGCTGATATTGCAACACCACATGCACACGCGGTGTAGCAAGAGTGGAGCATCACCTCATTTCACCCTCACTAGCAGGAAGAAAAAGAAATACTACACTAAGCTGGGCGTTGTTCTGCACAGACCTTAGCAACCAAGCAAAACACGTGGAAAAGGAAAGGAGGAAGAAGTATTTGTTTAGCTTCGTATTTGTTTCTGTGCAGTGGAGGTTGCTGAAGGCCCTTTCAGTTCTCCTCACTGCTGAGCAAGCAGGGAAACCTGGTTTAGCTCTGGGCATGCAGCTCAGCATAGAAACCCAAAATGGATCCAACAGGATCCCCTGCAATGGCAGAAAAAAAATGCAAGGGAATGGTGAAAGCCAGAATGGAGAGGGATTATTCTGTTTAGGGTCTCATTTTGGTTTTTTTCACTTTACATGTTTCTGGTAGCACGTTCCTGGTGATGCTGGACTCTGTGAAGCAGCACTGCCAAGAAACTGAAGAGCTTACAGCAAAGCCATCTGTGACTTGGCACCAGTTCCTTCCACAACCTCACTGCTTGACCCCGTATTTACACATTAACTAGCTGAATTTTTTGCAACTTAACTCTTGCAAAGCTTTTTTTCTGTTACTGGGCACTGTGATGGATAACACACAAGAGAAAGCAGAGGGGATGCCTGCAGTACAGCTACCACAGCTTAAGTTCAGTGTGCCTCAGCTGAGAAGCAGCTCCCGATTTGGGAGAGGAGTGCACATGCAGGGTCAGCTGGGCTCCCTGAAACCAAAGGATTTCTGTTACTCAAGTGTATTGACCTTCAAGATGAGGCACCACATCAGCCTAGTGCCTATCAGCTCTGCCTAGCTTTCTAGCCCAGATGGAACTGGACAGCCATGAGCCCTGGCCGGGAGCAGGTTGGGAACCACAGGAATAATACGCCTCACTCACGTGCCATCTAATAGGCTTCTGGTCGCTTGAGGAAGTTGAAAAGTTTTATGAGTTTGGCACCCTGTTCACCTGACACCTGTTTGTCAAGAACTGCTACTTGCATGATGAGTTATATGCTTATTGTAAACTACAGAGGTTACAGTAAAATCAGATTCTTTAGACTTGAGGCAGATTTAGACACATTAGCTTCCTTCATCTGAGATCCCAGCCCTTCTTACACCCTTGCAGCTCCTTCACAGCACCTCCTTTTGTGTCCCCAGTTTCAGCTCCTCACACATCAACAGAAAAGCCCAAATAAACAAGAACACACCCTCCATGAGTCACAAGATAGAAGAGTATTTCCTAACAGGAAACTAAATAGAAAATCAGTTTTGATGCCCCACACTGCTTAACTGCACTCTAACCACAGATTTTCTTGGAAGCCACATCTTAGTGCAGCGCTTGGGATGTGGCAACCTAACGTTAACATACTGCTTACATGTGAAGTGCTAGTAAATGTATGCCTATTATATACATATAGAGGGTATTCTCCCTAGTGGTGTCAACCTTTTAACTGACTCAAAGCTGACCTGTAACAGACATGGAAGCTCTGAATCCACCTCCAGCAGGGGTAAGGAGTTGATACTCTCAGCTGGGGAAAAGGCTGCAGTATCCAAGTCTGGCAAACAGTAGCCTCATATCTCACTTCCTGCTGCTGCCCATGACATTGTCCCCTCAGTGTCACTCTTGCCTGCAAGAGGAAGTTTACAAAGAGAAGAGTCAGCCACATTTTCACAGCTCTGCCCCTCAACATCGTCTTTTAGGTTGGTAACTACAGTTGAAGTCTTTTATAAACTGAGATGTAAGCAGCTCTGCCTCCTTGGCAGCTTCATGCCTCTCTGTAGTGACAAACACAGCATGAAACCAGGTGGAACAACTCTGAATCTGTCCAAACCCGGTTTCAAACACAGTTGGCACATGCAGAAAGAAGGCAGCCAGGACAGTGCAGTGCTGAGGGTCAGGAACCAGGAACCATAGAATCAACTAGATTAGAAAAGACCTTTAAGATCAAGTCTAACCATTACCCCAGACTGCCAAGACCACTAAACCATAGCACTGAGGGCCTCACCTACACAACATACAGGAGCTCACTACAGGTGCGATGCTCACCCATGCTAGGGGCACAGCTCCTGTGGTGGGCACACTACCTATCACTGCAGGATCTTCTTTTCAGTGCTTTTTGGTTATTTCAAGTAAGGTATTTTCTTCTCCTCCCCAAACCCACATCTGACTGAAGTGCAAACTACAGAAACCTCAGAAGGAAGCTTTAGACATATCACGTGAAACACTAATTTAAACTGAATAAAAGAAACCCCAAAGAAATTTGAGGGAGCAAAAAAAACCCACCACCCTGACTGAGGTCTTTGACATACAGACAATGAAGGCAGAAGGCACTGTTTAATGATCACCACAGAAAGACCACAGCAAATACAGCAACACAGGTTAAAATGCTTTTTAATTGTTTATTATAAAATACGTATTTGGGTGTGAAGGCACTTTGAAACCGTTACAAGATTCTGCTTAAGCTATTGTTTGAGCTGTTCAACAGGTCCAAAAAGAGGTTTTCTATCACCTAACAAGGTGAAATCTAGACTGCATGCAGTTGTAGCACATTCCTTTCTCTAACAGAGAAACACTTCACTGCCCAAAGCTGAATCAATTCCTCATCTCCCCCACCACATAGGAGGAGTTTAGGGACCTAGTTGTATCCGCTGAACACCACTGAGGAGCAGATCAAGACAGAAAGGTTGTGTCTTTTGTACTTTTTATCTCAAGATCTGAAGACAAATACTAAAAATTGAATACAAGGAACTGAACAGACCAATCTACATGAAACCTTGTCCACTGCGTGGCCATCTCCTCGTACTGCAGCTCTCTGCAGTCAAACCTATTAGAAATAAGAACCTTTTCTGATAAAGAAAAGATTAAGTAGTTAATTCAAGAACAAGTAACAGAGTTTGCGAGCTTCCTGCTCACTGCTGAGTAGGATCCCTGCACACATACACCTTTAAGTACATTTTTCCTCCGTCATTGCTGTCCAGATTCAGTACCTGAATCTGCCCGAAATCATGGCAGCATCCTTCCCTGGAGCTGTGGTCCAGCAGACCATGCAGCACATACTAAACCAACCAAGCAGTGAAGTGAACAGAGCTCCTTAAACAAGCCCTGTGTAATCATTCCTCTTTTCTTCACAGAACATATTGAACAGTTGACGTTCAACATACACAAACTGAAGAATACAGCGTGGAGAACTCTCTCCATGGCTCTAATCTTAAATGCAATTATAAGATCAAGGTACTGATGCACAGTGATGGATAAACCTTGACTTTTCTCCATTTTGGTTATACAAACCCTACCAAATTCCTCAGCATAAAAAAACACAGTTGTAAGAATTAGATGCTGGCATTTCCAATGAATCAAAGCCTTCAACAGCTATAAAACCCCCACCCCCAAGTATATACAAACCTGCCTTATCTTATGGGCTTACATTCAGTGTAGATACTACACAAGAGGCTACGATCTTCAGGAAAAAGTAAAATGAAGAGACAACCTGTTTAGATGAATTTGTGCATTTGGACAGCTTCACAGGCAGCTGCAATACACAGGAACAGCTTCTACAACAGGGCTGCTACTAGGCTTCCAACAGGAAAAAAGCAGCTCCATGGCAGCCTTCCCTGGCTCCAGAGAAAGGCAATTCAGGCTCACTGAACCGTATCACAGTGCTTTACCAGATGTCAGTGCCCAGTCTAAGCCACTGCTACTTGCACTAATTCCTGCCTTTGTTATTGCAGAAGCTGTCCCATCCACATCACAGAATACACTTCTGCTGAAGTTGTGGCAGGAGATGGAGCACAGCACAAATCACACAATTCAAAACTGCTCAGCTCTTCCTGAGGCCAAGTGACCAATTTTTCTCCACTCCAGTTACTCCAGAGTAGAATAATGCATAAAATTCCACGTTATTTAAAAATAAGGCACTTTCAAAGTTTCTTCCTCAAATACCAAAAGCTTGAGGAAACTTAACACTCACTTCCTTATCATTCTTATTTAAAAAAAAAAACCAAAACAACAAAATGGTATTCCTAGAAGTTGAGTTACACCCAGAACTCACAAAACTCCAAAAACAGGCTTGAGAACATCCCAATATGGCTTTCTACACCTCACTCTTCTGGTGAAACAGTTCACAGTAACCTGGAGCCCAGCTGCCCTTTGGGAATGAAGACCACCATCACCTGCCATTCTATGGCATTCACTACTTAACCCTTGCTTTTTGCATCCTGTGGAAGTCCGGCACAAGTGCAAAGTTAAAGTAACTTGGCAGCTGTCTGTATACAAAAGCAAGAAGTAAATAGCATGACAGCTGCATCTGGCTCCATAGCTTGTAGATCCTGCAGAAAACCAGGTTTAGTGATTTGCTCTTTCACTGACAACATCTTGAAGACGTTTGAGTAGAACATCATCGTTCTCCTGGCAGAGTCGCTTTGTAGGAGATTCAGTGTCACTGTCAATCGTTATTGCTCGCTTCTTACTCCTGTGTTCGCCTTGTTTTATCATATTGTTGATGTCCTTCAAACTCTGCAATCAGGATTAAAAAAACACCGAGTTACTACAACTCTATTTCAAACTTATTCTGCTTTTCAGTTATCTGAGAACAAAGAGTTCTTCTGAACCTCTCTGCTGACTGAATGATGGATCCTACAGAAAGAATTCTACCTTTCACTGCAAACTGAGAGCCTCACTAAATGAAAATCACTGTGTTAGAACATATCCTAACTAGGAGATTAATTAACCCTCCCTCAGATTGACTCTTTTCAACCTTTTTGCTCTCTACCTTGGAAGGGCTCCCACTAAATTTATACAGGAGTGCAGATCGAGGTGTCAAGCAGGCACCGTTCTTGTGGGGTGAAACATAAACTGCATGCTGCTGAGAGATGCGGCGAGGAGACACTGTCTGCTGCCTGATGCTGGGGAATGGAGACAAAGGAGGTGCTTCCACCTGCAAGAGAGGACAAAGCTGGATAAGAGCTGAATCTGAAGATATTTAAGAGCAGTAACTTCCCAGAAGGAAGCATTAATGAAATTTCAGGTCTTTAGAAGATTTTAGCCTGTAACAGTGAAAGAACAGATCAAGTATCCACCAAACAGAGCAAATTTGGTTTCCAGATGCATTAACAGAGATGCAACACAGGCACTTCAGCAAATGGGTATTGCATCAATATAAAGAAGCTGACAGCAGGTTGTAAACCAAGCTGCATCTGCATTTGTCCTCTTGAAATGCTGCTTAAGCAGCTCCTCATACCACACTTTCATAGCCACACCACGTAAATAACAGAGAAAAAAGACTGACATGTTTAGCTGTCAGGAATTATTGTGTCTGATCATTTGACAGAGCGAAATTCCAAAATACTTTACTTACTACATGGTCCTGGTTTGTGATATCGTACTTCAATGCAAATGATTTCACTCTTTCTACATAGACTGCATTGTAAAACTTAATGAGATCTCCTCTCTCCTCTGTTCCCGACTCACTGGAGCTCTCTTCTGCGGATCCCGAGGAACTGCCGGTTTTCACAGACGTGTCTAACAATAAGAGAGAGCTTCAGATTTCAGATACAGCATCAGCAAACTGGGTGCTTCACATTTAAATGTACATTCTCCAACTGACAAGAACTCATCCATAAACTCACTAGTTAATGTGGTGAATTAGAGGTGTGCTTCAGACAGCAGCAGGGTGTGCTGCATGTGCTTATGAACATCAGGAGCTGTAGCAAAAAAAGGGTAGCACAATCGGCCCCTTTTCCCATTTTCACTCTGGGGAGTGGTACAAAGCCATTTGTTGCTCTCAAAACTGACTTCTAAGCAGTCTGGAGACTCCCAGCTTTTAGCTTCTGTGAAAGTTTTTTGTGATCTGTTGGCAAAGAACAGCTTCATGCTCAACTTGGGTCAGTTGCAAGGAAGCCACAGATGTGTTATGAAATAGCTGTTCGATGGAAAAAGCTGCAGCCACACAGCAAGTGTATTCATGTTAATGTTCTCTCTCCCCTAACTAAGTCAGAATACAACCTTCTGTCTTCAGTCCTCTGTACTCTTCACTGCCAAGCAAAAAGAGGGCAACACAGAATAAAGCCTCTTGCAACCAGTGCATTATGAAACAGACATCAAAAGCTTCAGGTGATACCCGTACGTGTAACTCCTTAGTGTGTCTGCCTTGTGTCACAACACAAGAGTATGTTCCTGTAAACTGGTGTCAGAAGAGTGGGAGTTAATACTAGATGAAGGAGACACAAATCCATTAACTGAAGAAAAAGTCTGGCAGGAAAAGCAACTCAAGAACTTTGTAACCAAGTACCTTTGTTTGACAAAGCACCAGAGCCCAGTGCCACTTTAGATGCTCTATGACATCCAAGACCTGTAGAGCTGCTGAACCTGCAGGAGCTCAGCACTTTCCTGGACCATGGTGGAACCCTCAAAAGGCATTTAAAAAATGGTTCTAATACTTGTTCAAGCAGATGAATCCCAGCCACAGTGGGTATTCACTGCATAGAAGTCTTCTATGTTTCACCACATGTCCTGGCTGCAGATCTGCTCTGCTCAAGGGCTCGCATATGGGCTTGTGATCTCCCAGTTTCCTGACACATCACTAAAAACAAGCAAGGCACAATTTTCATGCTTTTCTCAAATGCTCTTGCCCCTTTTCTCCTCTAACCGAGAGCAAAGAAACTAACACCTGTTTAAAAGAAACCTGAATACAAGAAAGTGGTGGTCTGAGAGAATCACCATTTTCATTTTCTGAAACAAGTTCTTCCTATTTAAGCCTTCAGGATAGAGGAGGTTAATTAAAAAAAACCCTGTCATAATATTCCAGGTGCTCTTAATCTCTGTTAACCACTTGCTGTCCAAAAAAGACTCATGGAGTGGTCTGGGTTGGAAAGAACCTCAAAGATCATCTATTCCCAGTCAAGATTCAAGAACAACTGCAGTGTCACTGACACGAGAGAAACAGTTCAACCACACATTTCAACCAAACTTGAGGAAACAAAATGGAACTCTTTTTCCAAGTAAGAAGTGTATTTTATGTACCTAACACACAGGAGGGCTACTGACAAGATAGTTTCTCTTCAAACAATACATTTGCTTTTCTTTAATACATTTAAAACTGTAAAACTTGCTTCACTTCTCCTTATTGACAGTTTAGTTCTTTAAAAGCACACAGGTACACTTTTAGAAGCAGCAGATGACTTTGCTGTACCTACCTTCTGTCATCTCCACATCTTGGTTTGTATTTTTCTCCAATGGGCCATCAGCAGAAATATGTCTCAACAAGACACTCCTATAAACCTGCAGGACATCAGGGAAAAACACTCTGGTCAAGGAAAACAAGGAAGCCAGAAAATTAGGTGAAATCCATCTGAATGGGAAAACAAGGAAGCCAGAAAAATAGGTGAACTCCATCTGAATGACAATGGATATAACACTGAAGGGGATTGACTTCTCCCTTAACAGCATCATCACCTGAAAAGCCACATCTGAGATTTCTACAAAGGCGAGGCAATACTATTTACTTACATGGCTGTTTGCTTGGGGCTGATTTCTGTAACTTTTCATGATGTCCTGAAATGTTCGTTCCTCTTTGGTTACCTGGAAAAGAAGAGTCTGTTGAACACCAAGTGCAGCAGCAAGTTTGGTTCAGTCTACTCAATTCACTTCCCTCTGTACAGGTTTTCCTGAGGATTAAATACATAATTTTAAAACTTAGTTCTGGTGGTGAGAATATGAAAAAACAACTATTTTTCTTGTTTAGGTATTCCTTGTTAGCTACTAAAGCTTTTTGCTGCTTATGATGCTTAGGAATTATTCATTTTCTGACTTTACTAGTGACACTACAAAATAAAGTAATAAACTGTAATGGGGTTTTCAGTTCAGACTACATAGATCATGAAGGTGACAAAGAGGACAGAAAACACAAATATGAGGGAATGAGGCCACACACCACTTGTGTTGCCCAGTGCTCAGGAAAAATAAAATCCACTCTTAACCAACTGGTTGGTTAATGGGAACTTTTAAAGATTTACCCAAAACAAGGAAAAAAATAAACCGGGATTCATCCACTTCTTGGAAGGATTTTTCTCTTCCCTCCAGTAATGTGACACGAATAAAACCATCAAAACTGTAAACTGGGAAAACAATTTACATTTTCAATTGACATAAAATACCCCAAATTCCTTAAAACAACATGTCACCTTTGCCATGATGTAAAAGGCACAGAGGAGGAGCTGGTCTAAATGTCTGTCCTTCATGAGATCAGCACAGTGGACCAATGTGAATTCAAAGCACGTCCATATCTTCCTGCGCAGGTCATTGGAAACATCCAGTTTTAAGCACAGGTCACGCAAGCGCACACTTGCCAGATGATAAACCTGGAAGAAACACACAGAAATAAGTGAAGCCAAAACAGCTTAAGCTCTCCTGCAAAAGTGATGTCCTCAAAATAGAGCTGTTCTGTATTTGCACAGTCATTTCTGCAAAACTTCCCTCCATTGCCCAAGACAATGTCTTCAAAGACTAAGGTGTCACCTCTGTTCAGATGTTGATCTCTAATGCTCACAGGAAACCTGCTTAAAACCATTTTGACTAGTTTCTACACCTCATTTACTGTAATGGAACACTTCAAACAAGCACAAAGAAGAGGCACACTTTAATTAGGTATAATCTTAGATTAGCAAGATGATGGAATTTTTTCTCCCCTTTTGATTACCAAAGATCTGTCTCAAAACCCAAGATAAATGTCAAGTGCAACATAAGCCTCTTCTATGTACTTCAGAAGTTATTGCTTCATGGATAGAAATCAGGCACATTCTTTATGTTAGAAAGCAGAAAGAGTTCATTTCCTTTTCACTTGCTCTACTGAACAGGACCAAGAAAGGAAAGTAGGGAATAACTATCATTTTGATTATGATGATCACTGTAAAGAGGTTAACATTTAAAGACCAATTTAAGTGAAAATTTTAGTTCTCCTTCTGAGAGGATTATGTTGCCTATCACATGGCTGGTAAAATACAGGGCTACAGCTGAAGTGCTCCCCAACTCAGAGTAAAGTTAATCAATTCTTAATCCATTCTCAGAGAGATACTGTCACTATCAGCATTAGAGAACCAATGGTTCAGACACTGGATGTGGCTTACAAGTGTTTCCAGGAATCAGTTTCTGTATTAAAATTTGCCTTAAAGACTGTTCAATGTAGAATTCTCTAGGGTGACAACACAGACACCCTAAAAGGAGGAAAACCTCTAAAAATACCTACTCCAGTAAGAAAATGACAGCAAAAAATAGGTTTTCTAATATTTTTGAGAGATTAATGTAGGTGCATTCTTTTCAGGCATTTAGGCAGTTACCTCTGCCTCCTCCAAAGAGCCCTCACACGTTCCGCATTGGAAATGAAAGAAACTAGAAAGAAGTTTCTCTCAAGCACATCCAGTTCTTACTGTGCCCCTTAAATCCTTCATAATCCTTCTAGAAACTTCTGGACAGTATGCAATTCACCACTGCTTTCTGAGGCCACATACCAGCAGGATCAGCACTACTGGGGAGGCCTCAGAAAACTGCAAATGAGAATCTCCAGATACAGGATTTGAAACAGTGTGGTTTTGAATGAACAAGACACAGGAGAATAATCTCATTTCTGATATGTCTACCCCTTTAAAGTGTGAGAGTCAGTAAAAACAAACAAGAGAATTAAAAACTACTGGTATTTCTTAGGTAATTACTTATAAAAGCTGTTAATTCAACAAAAAAAAGAACCCAAACCACAGAACATGTCATGGGCCGGGGAAGGGGGAAAACTGAATTCTCTGTAACACTTGACAACATCTTTTCCCTTCTCCTCCCAGGTATCTAAGAACTGCTCATGCCAAAGGAAAAGTACGTGGAGACTGAAAGGTCATGAAAACTGCACAAGGAGGCAAATTTCAGCATGGCCACAAGCAGCAGAATAATGTGACTTTCTCATGAAGACACCTACCTTTCTGTAGAACAGTGCCAAGGATCCCGTTCTCTTTGGTTTGTTTCCTGATGACAGATGCACTTCATGTGCTTGGTTCCCCTGAGGGTGGCAGGGAGCTTGTGCCTCTGTCTTACATGGCTGACCTAAATTCATCAAAATGGGTATCAATGTGATCCCACCCATTTCATTTGCAATACCTGGAGATGATACATCCAGAAATAAACCATTTGCTGTCCTCATGCTGCAGAGTTAAACTGCAAATCATTTATTCCTGTACAAACACTTCATACAAAAGACACCTCATCCTTCCCTGCTGGATGTTAAAAAGACTCTTTGCCCCTCAGAGTCTTCAGAAATGATTAAAACTTACATTTCTGGTAATGGTTAAAGGAAGAATATGAACGTGAACAATCGTTTCTAAAACTATCGGGAAGTACAAAGTTGACAAGAATTGACAATTCTCTAGCCACTCTTTTAGGGAAGGTGGACATTCCCTTTCTTTTTTTTGGCATTATTCTGCAAACCTGACAGCACAAGCTATAGTGCGAGGTGTAACTGGAAGAAGCAAGAACTCCATAGCTTTGTTCACAAGGAGGACGCTTGTCAGGTATCAGAAATCTCCACAGGAGGAGATGTCAGTATGAGCTTAAGCTTTTTTTTGGATAAAGTGATACATGTTCTTTTAAAATGATAAAGCAATACATGTACAAGATATGTGGTTGGTCTAAGCAGATCTTAAGAGCAAGCAAAATACAGAATCACAGAGTCATTATGGTTGGAAGGGACCTTAAAGACCCTCTAGTTCAAACCCCCTGCCATAGGCCACCTTCCACGAGACCCAGTTACTCAAAGCCCCATCCAACCTGGCACTGAGCACTTAATCTAGTAGACATTAGAACACTTAATCTAGACTTAAGATAGTATCTAGTAGAGAAGACAAATGGGAAGAACTCGTACCGTGCAGTGGGATGGTGATCTTCTGTCCTGTTTTTCCTGGGACTGTAGCTGTGGTCATGGTCAGCACTGTTTGGCCAGGAGAAGCTGACACATTTTCAGCAGCAATGCTTGATGCTGGAGCAATTGTCAACTTAGTTCCTTCAGTTAAAACTTTTTCCATCTGCATTTCTTTGGGGGTGTCATCTCCAAAGAGCCTTCTTTTTGCACTTCCAGCCATGGGAGAACTGTAGCGCTCATGAACAGATATTGGGGACAACGGCTGCACATCTGGCACACAGAGAAGAAACACAAAAGGGCAGCAGCTTCACATGAATGCTTCTCCACAGGAGGAAAGGTTAACCTTCAAACTGCTTCTAGTAATTGATCTCCCAGTTCACTGACCCTGGGTGATATGAACAAGACCTATAGTTTAACTGTTTCCTTTTACTTTGTGGCCATCCGAGACAGCCCAGTTTCACAATCAGGTGCCACATGGAAGACAAGAGTAACCAAGCTAACTTGCAGAAGAAACTGAGGAACACACAGGATTACAGACACCCCAGTCTGCTTAGCAGATAAGTAATATTTGCAAGTGCTATTCCTCTGAACACATACAGTTAGGCTTTCCCTTGATCAAAGAAGAGGCTTCACAATTTTGACTGCTTAATTCAGATTCACGATGGCTTTTTGCAATTAATAAAGAAATCTAAACTTCCTCTGCTCAAATTCACACATTCAAATTGTATCAGAAACCTTCAACATACCCCGTCTTAGACTCCCACCAAGATCTGTCCGAACCTCTTTTACCCGAGGATGAATTATAGGAGATATTGGCATCATAGGCAAATGCCCAAATCCGCTTCCTCCATTGCTTGCTTCAAAGTTACTGGGAAATATTACCTGAGAAAGAAGAAATGTTAATGTCAGTGTTAAGACAACAAACAGATTTCTCTTCTTTGTGCTAATCTATTCATAGAAGCTTTTCCTGCAGCAACTGTCTCATTTGAGCAGTTCTCAGTATAAAACAACAGTAAGAAAAAGAGCATGAATATCCTAATAAGAGGAAAAGAGATAACATACTTCTTCACAGGTTGGGACCTTGTTATCTGATGCCTGGAGGGCATCCCAGAGCGCTGAGTCCTGAGTCCAGGCAAGGCTCTCAAGAATTTGTTCCTCAATGCTGTTGAGATGCTTCACCATGTCCCTGGAAAGTCCTTCCTCAGACCGAATCAGAACTTCAATTACCTAATGGTAATAAAGACACATGAAAGTCATAGTATTCATGATTAACACTCAGATTCTTATTTGCTTCTGCATTCTGTTTCAAACTTCTCTTCAATGAATGCTCCAGCCTCCTCCTCACATCTTAATCTTCCCCAACCCTCTTCTGATGGTTTCAAACCCTTCCCCAAAAGCAATCCAAGGGTTGGAAGTGGACAGCAAACATCTCATCAATGCAGAACAATCTGCTCCCAGGGATTTACTTAAGGCACTGTCTCAAACTGCTAAGCATGTACAAAGCAAAAGCAGTAAGAACCTGCAGTGCTCCCCCAGCATGTGCAGCAGACCTAGGATGATACAAACAGGTATATCCCCTTAGGCTGGAGGATATACCCCAATATTTAAGCTTTCCTTCCTTTCAAACAAGCAGCTCACAACAAAAAGGGTTGAAAACCAGCATCTTAGTCCTAAGGCAGTATTTATTTACCTTATAGAAATAGAATGGCCTCAGGTCAAGAACTTCAATGATCCAGGGGAAGGTCCGAGGTGAGCTATATGCAAAAAGCACAATCTCCAAGCAGCATGCCATGAGAGAGCGGTGAAAGACATCTTGTTCCAAGAGAGCCTGAGGAGATGACGGAAGATGTGATCTGAGGTTTGGGAAATGGAAGTTTGAGCTTTGTGGCACTAATACTACAGAGCTTATTGCTGGAGAGAAGAGCTACTTCTTTCTCCTACATTCCACAAACTCCTCTTTTTACGGGGAAGTTCAAAATGCTAAAGACTGTAAGAAGACCAACAGCACCAAAATAATCACATTTTTCAGATTATAAGCAAATGATCAGGCCTCCTTATTGTGAGTCACAAAGCAGAGCAAAAGCATTTCTATCTAATGATTAAGTACATTAGGTAGAAAGAATAAAAGTTATCTCTCCATAAAGTCACAATTCCAGAAAGCAAAACAAACTAAGACAGTTATGCCAGAACTATACCATTTTTAATAGCAATAAAAACTACATTTAGGCACCTCCCATATATTCCTCCTTTTTAAACAGTAACAATACACACAAATTGCTTTCCTGCAGGATACTCTGTTTTGGAACTGTTTGAAGAAAACCCTCCCAGAGAGGCTTACAAAAAGTGTTCTCCTCTTTTGCCAGTTCTTCACTTACAGTCAAATCTTTCCCATGTAGTCTTCGTAGTTCTTGCACCATTATAGTCTCCAAGATTTTATAGTACAAGATCTCTGCCAGCATTAATCTGTTTACAGCAAAATCTGAAATTTAAAACCAAAAGAGATGAAGCCCAATACCATTTGCAAAAGTGGTCCTGAAGACTAAACTGCCCTTTTATTTGTCCTTCCCTAAGAAAATAGTGCATGCGTGTGTGTACAGACTGCAAATCAAAAAAGCATGGTTAGAAATCCACTGGTGACAAGAACAGCATGAAATTCTCAAAGTGTTTTGAAGGATTATGTATTTTGTATTATGTATTTTAATATTGCTAGTGATGTAGGACAAGGGGTAACAGGTTAACACTTTAACAGGGGAAGTTTAGATTGGATATAAGGAAGAAATTCTTTACTGTTAGGGTGCTGAGGCACTGGAATGGGTTGCCCAAGGAGGCTGTGAAAGCTCCATCCCTGGCAGTGTTCAAGGCCAGGTTGGATGAAGACCTGGGTGACATGGTTTAGTGTGAGGTGTCCCTGCCCATGGCAGGGGGATTGGAACTGGATGATCTTACGTTCCTTTCCAACCCTATGATTCTGTGATTCTATATAACTTTGCAGACAGTTGCAATAAGAATTTTCCCATACATGTCCCATTCTCTTTAAATTCTAATCCAAGAAGAGTGCAAGTTTACAATGTTTAGGAGCTGCTGTAGTTTCAGTGCTCCTTTAGATATCCCATTCTGACCTTCAGCCTACAGGGTTTACTCTGTAGTAAGTTTTTATTCTTTCAAGTGTTCTGTTTGACAGCAACAGTTTTCTGTTTGGATATGTTCTGGGTTAAAAATAACTCCACTGTATTACATACTTTAGTGATAGTATATGTATGCATGTCATTTACCCTGATTTAATATTCAGAAACATCCCAATGCATTTCATGTCCATACCTATATGTGATCCTGGCTGTTCATCTGTTGACTGAGTGTAGCTGCAGCAGAACTTCTCACCTATTTCTTTCACTCTGCTCATAATGCTTTCCATAGGGCTGCGTGCACAAGACCTGCAGCAGAACACAAAGAGAAAAGCCTTGCTTGTATAATCAAACATCAAGTTTCAAACAACCCTCAAAACCCAACAACAACAAAAAATACCACCCAAATAAAAAGAAGTGAAGCTGCTTATACTAAGCTTTCCCACGGAGAACAGAGGAAAACACAAAACATCCAGGAATATTGTTCCCTTTTTTCCTTTCCTAATAGAGTTGAGAGGCTATGTAGATTCTGGAACAAATGCAGGAGAAACCAAGAGCTCAGGAGAAAAAAAATACATATCTGCTAGGAGCAAGGTGGTAGGAAGGATGCTACAACAGGCAAGCACATATATCCAACTCTTTAAGGGAAAGACTTAACAGCTTGCTAACTAACATTACCTTCCTCCCACAGAACCTCTGCCAACAGTTACCATATCTTTTAATTAAGCCATACTCGTTTTGAATTTAAGCAAACAAAAAAGCATTTGGCTTTCAAGCAAGCAGCTAAATTAACATTAGCAAAAGCTGAAGGTACATTAATACATTAGTGGTAACAAACTGGAGTGGGTGCATGTGTTCAGCTCTCCTCCAGAAGATGAGACAGAAGACTGCTCAATAAGAAATAATACAGAAATACAGACAAAAATGTTCTGCACCACGCAAGTCAAATTTGAGCAAGAAAGCAGTCACAGGAGTGAAAAGATGAGTTTACTTTTCCATGAGCGCAGCTGCAGTGGATGTACTTACTCAAAAATAGCTATGAGTTGTTCACTCGGTGCATTTTTCAATCCAGCCACAATGCTCTGCAACCGGCTCACACTTTGTGTTGCTGAAGCAACAGGGGTGATGACAGCTTCCTTTTCTCGTAGGTATCTTCTTCCAGTCAGGGGAGTTGAAGGTGCAAATGACCTTTTCTGTCAGAGAAAAATAATAAATAAAAACCAGTCAACAGAACTGTTTCAAAAACCTTTCCAATGAGCATCTCATTAGTATGTTACCTGAAGGCTGCCATCAAAACTGATCTCAAAACTGACTCATGATTAGCTCAATTTTTCTCAGGACTTCATAAATAGAAAAATTCCAAAATCTTCTGGCAGACTGAATTTAACTCAGAGGGGTTTTGCCTGGGTTTTTTTAAGTAAAATATAAGAAAATGAGACTCTAAAACTTAAAGCCTGTAAATTCCACAACAGCACAGGCTGCCAGAAACGTTGTGGCTGCCCCATCCCTGGCAGTGTTCAAAGCCAGGCTGGACAGGGCTTGGAGCAACCTGCTCTAGTGGAAGGTATCCCTGCCCATGGCACAGGACTGGAACTGGATGAGCTTTAAGGTCCCTTCCAACACAAACCGTTCTATGATTCTCTGATCCTGTTTAAGGAATAGTTATTTACTGAATTTCACAGGAAAGCAGCATCACCATTCCACCGCAACAAGACAGCATCCACTGAAGCCTGCGAACAGCATTCATCATCTTCCTCTTAAGAACGAGAAATTCAAAGTCCCCACAAAGATTCAAATAGCATACAAGGATAAAAATACTTGAAAGAGTACTTCCAGTGAGATCAACAGGTTAAACAAATCACCTTTTCAAAATGCTGCTGGAGATGACTCTCCACATGAGCTCTTGCTGCTGTTTTCCCTACTGGTATATCTACAGGGAATTTTCGAGGCGTGCCAATTTCTTCTTCAGCATCAGCACCGAGGAAAACCCTCTCGTCGAAGTCACCCACTGTCAGAACATACTCCTCATATTCTTTATTCAGGGCTTTGCTGAAAGAGAAGTCCAAGGTTTACATCAAAGTTAAACTGCTGAAAATAAAAAGGTGCCACTGAAGATAAGGTACAAAACTGAAACCAAGGTGTGTTCAAAGCACTGAATGCTTCCAGGAGCAGTGAACAGCAAAACTTCATTACCCCAAGCAAACTGCATGCAAAACAAGTTTGGACAAAGAAAGAAAGAGGCTTCCATGCTTCCTTGAGACATCAAGCTACTTAGGAAAGAACAGGGACTACTCACATCACAGTATTATTGAAGTAATGCTATCAATTTTTAAGTAGAAATATTGAAAGTTTCACTGCTTCAAACAGATCACAGCAAAACTGCTTTACATCTACATTTGAGTGGTGTCTACATTGTTAAAACAACTGAGTCTTCACTCAAAATTTTCAAAGCAAACCAGCACTCACCTTGAAAAAACAACTTACTGGGTATTTTTGGAAAAGAAGGGGAAAAAAAACACCTTCAAGGGATGCAGAAAAAGCAGCCGTTGTTCATATTTTGCATTTAAATTAGTTTTCAGAAGTGAATTTAAAAGGTTTCTGAAACAATTACACTCACCACAGAAACACTCCACCTCTTTTTTGTGGTTTTGCAACTGTTGCTTCCTTTTCTTTTGAGTGCTTTAGTTACATTCACAGATTTATACATGCAGCTGGAGACTGACACAGGAATCTAGACTTCCCTACTTAGGTACAATATTTGAGGTGTGTATAAAAACACATCCATGAACTTCAGAGGCAAAGTTTTGATTTGCATTGGATTACTCAAAGGTTACACCTGCCAGAAAGTAAGGGCAAGCACCATAAAACCTGACACTAAGGAAGAAACTCCGTAGCTGACATTTGACACGTCAGATCCCGAAATAATTTCTGCCAGGTAACAGATTCGACTGTCAAATAATTAAAAACTATTAGTTATGCTAAGGTAAAGGAACAGAAAAACCTGTATTACAGAAATGACAGCCTGGTTTGGGTTGGAAGGGACCTCAAAGTTCCAACCCCCTGCCACAGGCAGGGGCACCTTCCACTAGAGCAGCTTGCTCCAAGCCCCATCCAACCTGGCCTTGAACACTGCCAGGGATGGGGCAGCCACAGCTTCTCTGGGCACCCTGTGCCAGCGTCTCAGCACCTTCATGGTAAAGAATATCCTCCTAGTATCTAATCTACCTCAAGATTCAGAACACAAGCTGTAACTTACCTATTTTCTGTGAAATTGCAAAGATCCAACAGACATTCTCCTTTTAAAATCTAAGAATAAAAAGCAGAAATATTTTACATAATGAAATCAAAACTGTTCCAACTCTCACAGTGTGAGGGCATGATGGTTTTAGCCAAAAAGAAAATAAAACTTAGGAGCATAACTGGACCTTTTTTTTTTTTGCCTAGCCCAAAGGACTACAATACCATTAGGAAGACAGATAAGGACAAAGCCCAGCTCTAACCAAGCTATTGATCAACTCACGTCTTCACAGTGATGCTTTTAACATCTGCTCCATTGGCAGCTTCAGGACTGCCCTGATGAGTGACTACACTGAAACTTCCACAGAGCTTGGAAAAAAACTGTCAGGACCAAAACCAGAGAGAACAAACTGTCCACCTGCAACCTCAACCTCCTCCTGCCAAAGCATATTGCTGAATGCAAGCAGTAGGACCCACAGTATCGTGGCAGTTATTCCATACAATCATTTCACAATGAGATTACTTTTTTTCCTGAACAAATCATTATTGACCACAAGTCAGTCTCCCACTGCCAAGGAAGGAAATCAATGATTCTCTGCTGACAGAAAAAGGCAAAACACAGAGAACTTTATGGCACACATCATGAAGAGTAAATTCTGCTTCTGCTAAAATACATGCAAAGAAAACCTAGCCCAGCCCAAGTTCACCTGCCTATTAGTACATTTTCCTGCAGGACCCATAGGAGTTAAAATTGTTTTGAGCATCTGAGCACTACAGAGCATTCTTAAAGCTACTGAGATGTACCTTCCTATCAAACAGTTTTGAAATGTATGGCTTAAAGTAGTGTTCCTTTATTCCTTTTGCTTCTACTAAAAGCCCATCATGCAGCTCACAGAGTGTGGCGATGATGCAAGGAGGATCTTCAGAGGCTTTGATCTCTGTCATGCGGAAGCCCGCTGGTAAACCTGAAAAAAAGGAGGAGGGTGAAGAAAGACTCCCTTTAACTTGATTTGAAAAGCACTAAGAGAACAAAGCATATTTGATTTTAAATTATCTGTTCCCACTATACCTTTGAACGATGGATTTAGCAAATCTCTTCTATTTGGACACAATAGGGCATTTGCAAAAACCAGGTCCAAGCAGCACAGAAGCAAATGATAGGAATTTACTAAATCATCTCCAATCATACGGAAATTACCTTTAAGAGACAGCACATCATGTCAAGCAACACAAGAGCAGTTCATAACTCGGAAGGTATACAAACCATTCAGCTAAGAAAAGCAAGCCCTACCCTTGGTGTACACAAAGAGAGTCCAGCAGAAGTTGAAGAGATCTTTAACATTGCAGGGCATCCGCCTGTCAAAGAATAAGAGTGGGAAGAAGTCAGTCTTCAGTTCCAGGAAGCTAGAGCCTGTTTTACAGCAAGAATTTCATTCCATTTCCTTGCTCAAAAAACACAGCTGCTGTCTTATCTTCATTTTGCACCAGGTGCAACACAATCTAAGCTACATGTCCTTATGGCAGCTTCCACTGACCAACGGTCTCCATGGAGCGTTTTGCATCCCCAATCTCCTGGCCCTTTCCTGAGCTAACGGCTGCCTCTGGCCTGTGACCCCAAACACATCATTTTGCTGCTGCCACACTTCTAACTGAGCCCTCCCACGGCTGCTTTGGAACTTTACATCACTTTTTAAAGCACAGTCATAGAATCCCAGACTGGTTTGGGCTGAAGGGACCTTAAAGCTCAATGATGGGCAGAGACACCTTCCACTGGAGCAGGTTTCTCCAAGCCCTGTCCAACCTGACCTTGAGCACTGCCAGGGATGGGGCAGCCACAGCTTCTCTGGGCATCCTGTGCCAGAGCCTCAGCACCCTCACAGGGAAGAACTTCTGCCAAAGAGCTCATCTCAATCAACCCTCTTTCAGTTTAAAGCCATTCCCCTTGTCCTGTTCCTACAGACCCTTGTGAAAAGTCTCTCTCTAGATTTTCATATGAAGTATAGCCCTTTACAAAGAAAAGTCACATGAAACCTCAAAAAATACCTCTGTTTCCTGCTTCGCTGTGGTTTTGAAGTTTCTTCATAAGGGTTTTGAAAAACATCCAAAAATATTGGCTCAAACTTTTTGAAAATCACAGTTGACACTTCAAAATTCCTCTCCAGCCTCTCCACTCGCTCTCGGAATTCCTGTGGTAGATTTGACATGTCCATCCACTTCTTCATTTTGCTAAAAAACTGAATTAGACTTAAAAGAAAGAACAAAAGTCTGCTTTATTTTGAGCTTTACCTCGTTTCCTTTATTCTAGTTAAAGAATAAAAAAAGGCCAAAATACAATATATTTGCTCCTTAACAACTAATCCGATTAACATACAGGTTTACTGTTTATGTGGATAGACTCCTGAGCTGTATGTACTGTAAGCTTTTCACCTCCTCTTGTGTTTTTTCTCCCTGACTCTTCAAGGCACAGGCACGGAATCACTGTATGTGAAGGCTGCAAGCACAGCCAGGTCAGGTATAGAAGGGCTGGAAAGGAAAGAAGGCTTCAAGTGTGCGGAGGGGGGAAGCAGTGAAACCACAGACATGGGTTCGTGCCTGTTACCTACACAAAACCCATTAGCTGTAGGTGCATGCTGGCAACTCAAGTCTTATCTGGATCGCTAATGGGACAGCCAGGCCTTGTTTGTGCTTCAATTAACTACAAAAAGGAAAAGAAATAATTGACGTGGGTGGAACAACTGCTGGGCTGGCACGGGTGGTTCTTCAAAGGCCTGAAGTTGAAAGTCAAGGATTTGCATCTTGTTTCCCTATCTAACAAGAAGATTTATTGCTTTTACACTGGTACCTCAGGACACGTGTTCTGCAGCGCCTGGGGCTGTGGGAACAGCAGTGGGTTCCCAAGCTGGTGGGAACCTTATCACTGAATTCCACACTGGTTCAGGTTGGAAGGGACCTTAGAGCTCATACAGCTCCAATCCCTGCCACGGGCAGGGGCCCCTTCTACTGGAGCAGCTTGCTCCAAGCCCTTGTGTCCAACCTGGCCTTGAGCACTGCCAGGCATGGGGCAGCCACAGCTTCTCTGGGCACCCTGTGCCAGCGCCTCAGCACCCTCACAGGGAAGAATTCCTTTCTAGAATCTGATGATTCACTGCCCGGAGCGCCCTCACCTTAGCCTGGCGGAACGCAGGATCCTGGTCAGCGACACAGCATTCCCCTCCATCAGGCCGCTGCCCACGGTGGGCACCCGGCTCTTGCGACAGGCGACGTAGAGGGCACAGGCCAGCCAGTGCAGCGGCTCGCCCTGCGGGACATGGACAGCGCGATGCGGGGAGGTGCGGGAGGGAGGTGCGGGAGGGGGCCGGGCCGCGCCCCGCCCCTGACAGGACCCGGCCCCGCCGCCCCGCCCGCCCCACACCCTGACAGGACGCGGTCCCGGTACCCGGCCCGACCGCCCTCACCTCCAGGCTGTAGGTGCCCCGCAGCGCCGTGAAGTCGCGCAGGGCCTCGGCGGCGCTGGCCGCGTCCAGGTTGAGCTCCTGGCAGAGCCGCTCGATGGCGGCGCCGGGCTCGGCGGGCGGCGGCTCCGGGCGGGACATGGCGGTCACGGCCCTGCCCGGCTCGCGCGCCAAAACCGCTTCGCCGGAAGGGAGCGGCGGCTTCCGCCGTGAGGGGAGAGGGGCGGGGCTTGGGGAGAGGGGCGGGGCCTCGGCTCTGTCGTGGGGTGTCGCCTGTCGTGGGGTGTCCCCGGTGGCGCGGAGCGGCTCCGCGGGCGCTGACGCTCGCCCGTCGCTCATGGTTGTGTCGGATCGGGCGGGAGCTCGCTCCGAGGCACCGCGAGGGGCGGATCTCACGGCACCAGGCCCAGCCTCAGGGCGTTCACGCCGTGCTGGTGGCGGGGGCGCTTCGAGAGCGCCGAGGTTGGGCCCAGAGCACGTGTGGGCACCGTCCCCACGGGCCGGGGCAGCTCCTGCACCCCCTCGAAGTGGCTGTGAGACCCGGGGCCCACAGCGAGGACAGGAGAGGTGGTTCCAGCCTGACCACACAGCCTGGTTTGGGTTGAAGGGACCTTAAAGCTCACCCAGCTCCAACCCCTTCTAGTGGACACCTTCCACTAGAGCAGCTTGCTCCAAGCCCCATCCAACCTGTCTTAGAGGACACTTCAACCACCATCTAATGGTTCCGTTTGGGTCAGGTGCTGCTGCTGCGGGTGTTCCACCTTCTCTGAGCTGTTGGAAGGTTGTGGGGCAGAAACATGGCAGAGCAAGCCCCAAGCATAGTTATTCCTTGAGGAACAAAGATGTGTGTTCCTTGGAGGGACCTGAGCTTTGCTTTTTGTGCATCTGCTCCCCCATTGAAGATCGGTGTCCATAAAGAGAATGACAGATTCTACCTGAACATGGGATGATAACTTGCCTGCGTCCTGAGATGAAGATCAGAGACAGGAGTCAGAGATGAGCAGCTCCAGGATGTTTTAGTCGCTCATGTTAAAGGAAAGGCACCTGTATCCTGCAAAACAAAACCCAGAGCGAGCTGTGCCCACCGTGCCCGTTCTCCACCACCAGGTCCACTCACCTCCTGATGAGACACTGCACGCCAACACCAGCACAACTGCTCCTCTGTAGCTGGGGCTGCAGATCCATTGAGCAGATACCCTGCATTCCTGATGCCGGGGTGGAAGGCTGCCATGAACTTAAAGGGAGTCTGAGGAACTGGAGAGTTCACGCCACCGTTTTGCCTCCTCTGTCCCCATCCAAGATGTCTCTTCTGCCGGTATTTTCCTGCTCCTCCATCCAAATAAATGCAGCAGCAAAATGCCAGAAGAAGGTATTCAGGCAAGGGCAGGAGGAGCAAGCAAAGCCCCTTGGTTTTCCCTCTCTGCCTTTTTTTCCTGGACCTTAAAGCTTTTCCTGCGCATGCATTTATTCATCTCAAAACCTGAATTAACACCTACTCTTCTAGAGCACGAGATCCTTGCTTATGACAAGCATTTATATGGCACCTCTTAGGATTTTACAAGGCATAGAGGAACTGAGCACCTCTTCTGCTGCAAGGTGCCATCAAGTGCCAGGACTAACTGGCATGGGGAGTCTCATGCCTGGTCCCTGGTCCTCTGCCCATCATCTAGATGAAGCAGGTCAGTAGAGCTGCTGTGCTCCGCAGTGGAGCTTGTGCTGCTTCATTGGTCATACACCCCATGGGGAGCAATGACTGACCCCACACACATCGAGTTAACCCCCCCAGTGCTGGGTGAGTGATTGCCACTGGCCGCAGAAGGGGATTATCCCTGTATAACCTCATTCCATGGCAGGGAAAGCCATGAGCCAGCTGCAAACAGCCCTTCCCTGGAGCAAATCACATCTCACGTGCACAAGAACGGAAGAATTCCACTGGGTTCAACAGCTGCTCAATGGATTCGTGCTGAGAAAAAGGCAAGTCACGTTTATCACTGAGTCAGGTGAATTAAACATTCACATATATTTGCTGGAAAAAAGATTATATACATCTGTAGCAAGGCTCTGCCAAGTCTGAAAGATAAGCATCATCTAGTCACTAAATTAAAAAAATAAAAATCTGACTTTTAAACCTTGTTGGTTTTTTTCTCTTTTTATCCATGTTCAAGAGCACAGACAGTTTATTTTGTTAGCACATTTGGTGAAGGATGTTATGTTTTGTGTGAGTAGCCATGAAAACCAGTGAGGATTTGGCATTTGGTTTTGGAAATGATGGAAAAGAAGAAGCCACTTACGCCTTACAGTCTAAATAATCCACAAAGTATATCAGGTTGCAAAAGGGTCACAAAGCAGCAGTCAAAGAGAAGCCTGAACACCCAGAGACGTAGCATACATGTCTGATAAGGAAGAACAAGGTATAGAGCATGCTGGCTAATTAAATGTCACTTTAAACCCTGTTCCTTAACGTGTGTAACCCTGGGAAAACCATCCCGTAACAAGAAATGGACTCTGAAGAGATTGCTGTATCCATTCACAGTAAGGCTTTGAAGATACATGAAGTTTTATAGCATTTGTATTTTAAGGATTTAGGGCAAGTACATGTTCTTCTACTGAATAAAAAGAAAGTTAGTACTTAAAAGGTTCAAAAATATATCAATTGTGATTATTTTTTTTTTACATAAATAAATTATATTGATTTTGGATTTAACAGCTGAAAAAACCCTTTCTGCTTCCACTGGAGGCAAAACTGAACAAAATGTTAGTTAAATAGAGATAGCAGCATTTCTAAGAAATCTGTCGATAGTGATACAGTATCTATGCTACAAGGATGTTATTAAATAGAACACATTTAATTATCGGGGAGGGGTGTGGGGGGGGTTGCATTATGATTGGTTACATACTTAAAATCATCCAATCCAGAAAACTGGGAATAAATTCCGTGAAAATAGAAACCAAATGCTTTTTAGACCATGGGTAACAGACTTCTTTGAGATGCTAATTTTAACATGTACATAATTTATAATCCCAAATGTATAAAAGACAATGACAAAAAGCATCATAAATAAATAATGCAAACTGAAATAGTTATGTCAAAACATTTGGACCATCTGATAAATTAGCAAAACTGTAACAGAAAATAAGTAAAAAATACAGTAAATTGTGACAACCAAGTGTGGAACCGATTACTAGCACGCTCCCAACTCCCTCACCAGCCTGCCTTTCATCTCACGCTGCACCACTGCGGCTTTGTTTCAAGTCTCAAACCATGAGCTGCAAATAGGAACAAGCCCAAGTGAAAGAAGAATTACACGAGGAGTGAAGGGGAAGGAGAAGTTGCTTGTGGCAGAGTCTCAGTACCCAGAGCTGCGGGGGGCTGACGGCATTAAAACCTGTCCGTTTAAAATGCAGACATAATCATTTGCCAGTGGAGGCGGGGGGGGATTTGGAAATACTGTTCAACAGCAAACGGAATGGAAAGAAGAAGTCGAGATCATCTCTTCAGTCTAATGCTAGAAAAGAAGAAACTCGAGCTATGGAAGTCTCACCCGTCCTTAGAGGACTCCCCACAAAGGAAAGCTGGCCTACAGCCTGCTCCTCATCTGCTGAAGGGACGTTGCTTCTAGGGTAAGGAGTGGGGAATATAAAAACTCAAAAAGCCTCCACCAACATATATATATATAATGTTCATATACGAGCATTAAAATCAGTGTGGCCTGTTCACGGCTGGAAAAAAAACACCTTTACAGCACTTCTAATGCTATAGATGAGAACTAACGCCATAGAGGAGAACTGAAGACGAGCAGAACGATGAAGAAACCGGTAGCTACAGGTACAGTAATCCCAAAAAAGTCATGCAAGATGTGCAAAACCTTTCCAGCTCAAGCTGAAAAGTTCTTGGAGCTCTCGAGGAAAGGGCAACTAAACTCCACTTAATGCAAAACCAAACTTTGGTTTTAAAAAGTACAAAAGAATGTCTAGGTCATTATTTTCACTCGCTGCAGTTTGTCTCCAAACCTTTGAGGTGGGGGCATGATAAAGAAATTCGATCACTACCAGTTATGCTTATTTTTTTTTTCCTTTCAAAGAAATGAATATATGCATTTTCAATCATTAGTTATATACTTCTGTCTATACTACTATTCTAGTAACCATGATAAAATAGGGAAATACTTTAAATCAAAAAAATACACATTAGCACTTACTATAGCTGTGCTTTTTACCCCCAAATACAGGCTTTTTCGTTCAGTGTCGCTGTAGACAGAAATACCCTTGTCTGCGTGTAGACCAAGAGGTAAAGACTTTTCTTTTGCTGCTTTTTCTTCTCAAAGGAGTGAGCAATTTCGGGGGGGACGGGGGAGGAGGGGCTGTGTGTGACCGAGTACTGGATTTGCTATCGTCGGCTGGGATGAACGACTGGAAAAACAGAATGAGAATTCGGTGCCTCCCATACTAGCTAGACAACACTGTTTATCTAATAAAGTGGCAAGACCCTGCAACTATTAACATGTAGTATGTCACCAGAGGTTTCTTTTTTTCTGACAGGGAATTAGGTAGATAATATTACTCATGGAAACACAGGTTTATGAAGGCGGGGCGGGAGGGGAAGTAACAAAGAGTTTATGGGATAAGAAACTCACAAGCCACAATCTTTTTGTGTTTTTTTTTCATTGAGAAACAAAAAGTTCTAATTGGGATCGCGAGCCCCTTCGCGCTCTGGCTCCGCTGGTCCCTCCTGCTCCTTCTCTGCCGAGGACGGTGGTGTCTGCTCCGTACAGTTTTGACTGTTTGCAGCTTCCTTCTCCGGCAGCGGGACAGTCTCTGGCTCTGGGTTTGCCATCTCCCCTTTTGCTTTCTTTCTCTTCCGCTTCTGGCTTTCCAGGTTGGCTGCCTCCGAGTGCCTGGTCTGCTGTATGCCGGGCAGCGCCATGCCGATGCCAGGGGAAAGAAACATCGAGGGATAGATCAGTCCAGGAGACATCCCTGGGATAAGGAACGGGTTAAAAGCTACAGGACTACTGGTAGTTATTGCGGATTCTGTCTGATTAGAAAACGAACTAGGACCAGGCTTCTCTTCCGAGAGAGTTTCTTTTTTCACATCCTGGCTACTCGGTTTATCCTCAGAAGCTTTCTCTGCATTGGCTGTACCACTTTTCGTTGTGCTTGTTAACGAAGTCGGAGCAGTCGCAGTACAAGTAGTTGTCATGGGGGGGTTGAGGAG